GCTTGTCTGAGGAGCAGGAGGGGGGGCCTTTGTGAGGAATCCTGGCAGGATTCCCAAGGGCATGAAAGGCCTTTGAGACCGAAGAGGGTGACCACAGGGTCTCTTGACCAGCATGTGAGGAGGGGATTCTCAGCTCTGTTCTCTCTGCCGGCTTCCTGCCGATCCCCCCCTCCCTAGCAAGAGGGGCGATTATGGGGAAAAGGGCTGGAGTTGAGGCAGCCTGTTCACCTCCCCCCCTCCCCCCTTGTGTCCCACTCCTCACTTGGTGTCCAGAAAGGCACGATAATCTTGCAGGCTTGAGAAGGAGGGGCCGGTGGGCCTGAAACATCAGAGGGGGTCCAGATTAGGCCTTGCTGGAGGAAGGATTGTGAACAGAACATGCACATTTTTTTGGGGGGGGGGAGGAGATGTTGCTGACAGCTGCAGAAACCAGCACGACTCCTCCCGGACTGCCCCAGAAGTGGGGGTGGGGGATTAACTCTTCCTGTGCTCTTTGCCTGATTGGAATCACAGGGCTTCTTGGAGAGGATTTCCACCCTGCCGAAGGAATGGCATCTTCCTGCGGGGCTTGCGTAGTTTCTTCCAGGGGGCAAACAGCCCTTCTAGGCGAGTGTTTCTCACAGCGGAGAAAACAGCTGGCCTCCCCGTTTTAAAAACTGTGGGAAACCTTTGCGCGGACCTTTTGCTGGTCCTAGCACATTCCCCCCGCCAAAAAGCCCAGCAAGGGGTGCACGCCGGATTTCTGCATTCTGAAAACGGCAGCAGTAGACCAAGGAGCAAATCTTCTGAATGTTGCCCAGAGATTTTTCCAAGCCCCCAGCCCCAGGGCCACAGCAGATTCCGTCGGCTGGAGCTTCTCTTCCCATGAGTCAGTTTTTGAGACATGCAGAGGGGCCCAAGATGCTCATCAGGACTCTCAAACGATTTGCCTCTAACATTTAATTAGCTTTGAGGGTTGTCCGTCTAGCCAGTAAAGCCGAGAGGGTTGTGGCCACAGACCTCCCAAGGAGCAAAGTGCTTGCAAAGGCTACAGGCTCACGTGGGGAGGAGGGATTCAGTGGGGGGAGGCCGCCCCCCCCCCACTCCCTCTCCGGACTCTGAGTCTCAGCAGGCAGGGCCCAAAGAATATCAAGCATCTCCTCACAGCCACAAAGACCAGGAAACTTTACAAATAGAAAGCTGGAGGTTCTCCATTAGCTGCCTTCTGCACAACTACTGTTGTCATTATCCGTCTTCCAACAACCAGGCAGCTGCCATAGTCTACCAAGCTCAGCGAAGGAACAGCAGGAGCAGGGGCTCTCTCCTTTCCTTCCTGCTCTTTGTCCGCTCGAAATAACTTTTCCCAAAGATGATGATGCTTCTTGGCGCTTGGAGAAGAGGGCCTTTGGGTAGGACCCGCTTGGAGCCAGTTTAAGTGCACGGACTCTAATCTGGGAGAACCGGGTTCGATTCCCCACTCCTCCTCCACTAGCACCTGGCTGGATGACCTTGGGCAAGCCATAGTTCTGATATGAACTGTCCTTGAAAAAGAGCAGTTTCTGTCAAGAGCTCTCTCAGCCCCACCAGCCTCACAGGGTGTCTGTCTGTTGTGGGGAGGGGAAGGGAAAGGAGTTTGTACGCCCCTCTGAGACACCTTCGGGTAGTGAAGGGCAAGGGGTATAAATCCAATCTCTTCTTCTGTCTTCTTCTTCTTCAGTTTGGTGTAGTGGACTCTAATCTGAGAGAACCGGGTTTGATTCCCCACTCCTCCACTTGCACCTGCTGGGTGACATTGGGCAAGCCGTAGTTCTGACAAGAGCCGTTCTTGAAAAAGAGCAGGTTCTGTCAAGAGCTCTCTCAGCCCCACCCGCCTCACAGGGTGTCTGTTGTGGGGAGGGGAAGGGAAAGGAGTTTGTCAGCCGCTCTGAGACTCCTTCGGGTAGAGAAGGGCGGGGCATAAATCCAATCTCCTCTTCTTCTTCTAAGGTGGGGTCGCCGTGTTGGTCTGAAGCAATAGAACAAAGTTAGAGTCCAGGGGGGCACCTTTAAGACCAACCAAGCTTTATTCAAGGTGTGAGCTTCCCTGTGCACGCACACCTGGTCATCTATTGGCATGATAGGAGCCCCTTGATCTACCCTGACATTGACACCCCCCCCCAACCAAACAAAAGAACGACCTCTTAGAGACGCAGCAGGGGCCATTCTCTGCGAAGCTTAACAACCCAAGCAAGAGCTGGGGGGGGCCCCCTCCCCTGTGAGTCTTTCGATGGGAAGATTAGCAAGAGGCCCCAGTTAAGGCAGCTGGGGGTGGGGTGGGGGTCAGTTGTGACTGCATGGCCAAGGAATGAGGATGAGGTAGTCGGTAAGGGGGGGGCGGTCTTGGGTAAACG